AGTTACTTCAGCAGCATAAAAAGCGGGCATCGTCTTCGAGGATACTTTACCAAGGGCGTGTTGAAGAAGCCTGTACTTCCGACTTTAGCCATGGCATCCTTTACGTCCATTCATAAAAAGGATTGTCAACAATTTTACCTCTGAAAAACTCGCCACCACTGCAATACTCCATGCACAGATACAGGTGATCCTCAGACTGGAAGGAATGATATAACGTGACAATAAATGGATGGTTGCTTGTAGCAAGAATCTCCTGCTCGGCCAGAGCTCTCTTGATCTTATTCCGCTTGATCATCTCCCTTCTTGCTTAGGACTAAGAACGAAAGAGAAAGAAAAAAACCCACGTCAGTCAGGACTGAACATCCTCGAGAACACACAAAAACTAAACCCAGAGTAGAAAATGTTTTCCAACACTCACCTTTCATCGCATACAACCGACTTGACTTCTTCTCCCTCACCAAATACACTTTCCCCACATCCCCTTTCCCAATCAACTTGATCTTATCAAAACTCCCAGGCCCGACCTCAACATTCCGCACCTTGATAGAATTTGAGCTATACGTCCTCCTAAATGCAATGGGATTACGATTCAAGCTTGGCGGGGGAAGATTCGACAGCTCATCCACACCGGGCACCGCAAGCGAATTGCTCTTGGACGGCGCATCAACCAGGCTCAATCTGGCCCCGTCGCCGACACCAACACCACCAGTAGCAGCACCATGTTCCACCAACGGCTCTTTCCCCAGCTCCGCTGTCCTCGGCCTCTCATCCGATTTGCCAGAAGAAAACAATCCCTGCGCATTTGGTGCGGAAGCGACCCTTCTCAACTTTCTCGCTAGCTCCTCTTTGCCCGCCGTTGTGGCCTGGTCTCCAGCCGCGACACCATCCACCTGCAACTCAGGGGTATCGGCATTGACCGAGGACACGCTGCCGTCGTTCCGATGTCTCAGGGCCGGGTGGCCCTGATGAGCAAAGTACGGATTCGCATGAGCAGTCGGGGACATGCCTTCGTCTAGCAGGTTTCCTTCACTGGCGGTTGTCGTCGATCGATTTCTGGTAATAGTGGGAAGAAAACGCGACTGCCGGAAGGTCATCTTGGTCTCCGATTTACCCGACCCAGAGGAGCCGGCGTTCTGGCCAACAGCGCCATGGGAGCCATCGCTATTGTTGTTGTTGTTGCTATTACTGTTTGTGGAGGACGAGCTGTTGATGCGGAAGAAGTTCTTCAACTTCGTAGGGAAATGGGAGGAGTCATTGGAGGAGTGTTTCTTCGTGGCCAATGATATGCCGGCGAAGTTGCTGCGTTTCTCATGTCTCACGCCGCTGGTCTGCCCAGAGGAGGAGGTGAAAAGTTGTGTCATCTCCTCTTTCTTTTTACCTCTATAAGTAGATATAAATAGAAACAAACACAGTTATTATAGCAAACAAAAATATTTTTTGTTTACTCGATTATCTTTTCCCCCTTCACTTTCGGTTTTTTTTTTTTAAAAAAAAAAAAAAAAAAAAAAAAGGGAATGAAACGAAAAAAAGGAACGTCGGAAGCTGGGTTCCTTTGGTTAGAACTCAAGAACGGCGACAAGGGTCACAAAGACGTTGAGAGTTGGGCGGACGAGGAAGGGTGG